AAGGATGTTTGGTGTATTAGACTCCCTGTTTTTGTACATATCACATATATACACCCCTGCAGTTTTAAAAAAAGTAATTGCTTAGATTGCATCCATTTTCTCTCTCCCCTCGTTCGGAGATTCTAGGATAAAAGCCAAGAACAATTGTTCAGTTTCTTAGACATAATTTGCATAATGTTGTATATTTTCAGAAACATGGTTAATTATAAGCTGTAATTAATTTACAAGAGGTTATGATAGAATGGCATTGTTTTGTAACAAGAATTAACAGTTTATGTAGATGTACCAAATTTTGTGCCAGTGTGTACTGTACCTACTGTCCTTTATTCAGATGATTAGTTTCTCTCTAAAATCAAGTCTGAGAATTAAAGTTTTGAGGTCATCATAGGTGAACAGACATCTTAAGGTGTATGCATACCCACACATACGTTTTTGTAGTAGAACCCAGCTGTACAGAACATTAATTGACTATCATTCATGAAGTCATTGCATCCCCATCCCACAAGGCTGTCTTTTAAAACCTATTTTCCCTTTTAAAAAATTATCTCCTGAATGTGTTAAAAGGCAGGCAGCCTAAAGCCTATGAGAAACAGAAAGTGATTCATTGGAATCATTCAACAGTACCTAGGGATCAAAAAGTAAAGAAGGAGTGCTAGAGCAATTTCACAAAACATCATAGACAATAGGATGCCTAGGCTCGGGCTTTCCCCTGTGACCTTTGCGTACAAAATAACCACTGTTCCCTATAGGGCACAGTTTCACCTTCCAGCATCTAATAAAATATGTTTTCTCTAGGAATTTTATAGGGCCTCCGGGTGATTCCACAGTAAAATTCTGCCAGATGTTTCCATATAATCTTGCTGGAGGACCCAGCAAATTCCTAGAGACAAGGATTTTCGAGGTCCTCCAGTGAGATTCTATGATAACTTCTCATTAAAATCATTCATTTCAATGGGGTTCACTATTATTCTTTTTCCACAGTAATTTCAGGAATGCATCCCCTGCAGATATGGGGTTTGCAGTGTATGATAGGATTCAAATAAGCCCTCCAATTTTGACAAAGACTGGACTTTCTCATATGGCAGTATTTGAACTCCTGCTGTGTCTAAGTTCAGACTATCAGAAAAAGCAAGTGCAGAGCCCTGTTAGGTAGCCCTTTCCTGTTGTTATCAGGCTTCAAGAGCATTCTTAAAGATCTGAGTGGCTTTACATTAAATGTTAAAGAGGAGGGACTTAGCCGAGACAGGTGATGGTTCCACATTCAGTCATGGCACTGAAGTGTTGACCTTAGGCAGAGCCTCATCTTTTGGGCTTGTGGCTAGAGCTATGTTAGGCATGACGATGGCTTTGTCATAGCTACTCTTATGACAATTGCTCTACAACCTACTTTCCATAACTGGAGGACTATGTCCTACTGCTGGATTATGTAGGAACCTAAATCAGATTTGGTTTTTTATTTAACATGTCAGAACCGAATTGAGGGTACAGTTATAATGTATTTAAAAGCAAAAAGTTTAAAACTTGACATTATACTAAACTACCTTTGACCAGAAACCTAGCCACTTGGAGTGCCTCTGGTGTGGCTGTAAGGAGGTCTTCTATTGTGCATGTGGCAGGGCTCAGACTGCATTGCAGTAGGTGGTCTGTGGTTTTCTCTTCTCCACACTTGCATGTCGTGGGCTCCATTTCATAAGATTGGCTCTGCATCTCTGTTCAGCGCCTTCCAAGTTGCCCAGTCTAGACTTGGTACAATGTTGCCTACTTTTGTTTGTTCCTATCCAGATTGTAACTACCATATATCCTTGTGTATAAGTTGACCTCATGTATAAGTCAAGGATAGATTTGGGGCCAAAATTATGGATTTTGATATAATGTGTGTCTATATTGAGGTCTTACTGCAGAGAGGGAAAGTGCCAGCACTGCCTCAGCAGTCCGGCTATCCCTGGCTGCCACTGCCATTCTCCACTGAGGCATTCAAAAATTCCTTTGGCTACTCTACTCAGGGAAAGGGATGGTTTCCTTTTCTATACTTTTTTGGATGAATTAGGTTACAGCACTTTCACTGACCCATGAATAAGTCAACCAAGGATTTTTGGGTTCATATTGTTAACATTTCTAGATTTATACCTGAGTATTTGCAGTTCATTATGTTAGTTAAATGGATGCCCTAAAAGGGGATAAAGAACAGACTTTCATCCAGTTTGAAAGGTTTGGCTGCCTGATATTTTTGAAGGAGTTTTTTACCCTCCATAAACAACCAGCTGTTTTAGGCGTGATATAAACTGCAACATAAATATGGGAAGTTCAAGTGACAGGAGTTTCTGTCTGTAATTTTAAAAATATTGGATCATTTCTCATACAACATATCTGTCCCCATGTCTGATACTACTTTGGGGTCTGGAATGTGTTACAGTTGGGTTTAAACAAAATCAATCTTTGACGGCTTTTATGTGTTTAATTTACTCTCGGTTTGGGACAAATGGGAAAGTAGAAAGATCAAATAAAAATACATTAGCTAGTCTTTTGTGTGTGTTTCCTCCCTCCTCCCCTATCCCCATCTCATGTCATTTTACTGCAGCTATTTCTAAAGAAAGGCAACTATTACAGTGTCAGCCCCTATATGGCGGAGGGAGGGGGCAGTGGGGCGCCCAAGATACTTATCTATCAGCAGCTGACAAGGCATCATCAGGGAAGTAAATGGATGGTGTTTTAGCTGCAGGGCTTTTGCAGATAAAACCTGCCCTTGTTAGGAGGAGAAATTACTCCTGCCTGATGCACACTGTTGTCTTTGAGCTGCGCGCCCCCAGCCCCTGACACCACTCTGACAGGGCGGCTGATTACAGCCTCAGCCCGCATGAGGCAGAAGATACCAGGCAATTCATTCTCTCTCTCCCTCTCCCTTCCTTCCTCTCATTCCCCATCTCTCCCTCTCTCTCTCTTTTTGAGTGAGCCATTAGAGCTGCAATAACAAGCCATTCATTACAGATCTTTAGTGAGGGTGGGGGAAGGGGGGATGCCTCCCTCCCTATCCCTTCATTTTGCACTTGTCATCTTTAGCAATTTGCATTTAATGAGGCCCTTGAATACACCTTAAATTACACCTCAAATGATGGACAGCATTGGCTTACACTTGAATGGTCCAAAATAACAAAAAGAAAAGAAAAGAAAGCTTAGAGATGAAACCATAATTACTCTGGAACGGTAATATTAGGGAAGAGCTAGCAGGGCTCTTAAGAACGTAAGGATGGTAAGAAGCACCCTTGCTGATCAGGCAATGGTTTGTCCAGCACAGCTGCACCCTTGCCTCATTTTTTGCTTTTTGTTTTCTACTTGTGTGCTATGCTTTGTCATGTTACTGAAGGATAAAGCCTTGCTTTTGGAGCTTGATTTCCCAAGTCTTATTGGGAGGTACTTTTCCAGGTACATCTGCCACAGTACAGCTTGGCTTTACATGGGATTTATTGGTGTCATTTATTCATTATAGCTATATTCTTTTACAAGTTGGGTTACTTTGGTCTCCTCCAGCAACCTTCTGAAGATGACCAGACTGAGAGAGGGGGTGACATTAGGCCATGGTTACCCCCAATTGCTGAGCAGTTACTTTAACCAGAATCTCCCAAGTCTTAGCCTAGAGTCTTGACCACAGCATAAGTTGACATAGGCCACTTGCCAGGCCTCTTTGGATTCCTTGTTGTCCCATGCAAAGTGAGTGCATAGCTCAGCCATGTCCATTTTAGTCCCTTCAAATTGTCATAATACCATAGAGTTGGAAGGGGGATCATGGGTCATCTAACCCAGATGTTCCCAACCCTTGCTCCTCCAGGTGTTTTGGACTTCAGCTCCCAGAAGTCCCAGCAAGCTTACCAGCTGTTAGGAATGGTGAAAGCTGAGGTCCAAAGCACTTGGAAGAACAACGGTTAGGAACCACTAATCTAGCCCAACTCAATGTTCAGTGCAAAATCTCTGACTAGAGAATCCCTAGCAAGTAACAGATTAGCAATGCTGTGGTTTATTCCATGCCTCTTTGCAAGAGCCAATCAAAATATGCCAAATACCAAATACCCCAAAGACACCAGGTTTGTCTGATCTAGGAAACGTAAGTACGTTAGTACTTGGATGGAGATCACAGGGGGTTACTAGCTGCTGTAGGCTATATTTCAGAGGAAGAAATTGGTAAACCCATCTCCTTAGTATTCTTTGCCTAAGAAAACCCTATGAAATTCATGGTATCACCATACATCAATGGTTCCCACTTTTTTTTAGCCAGGGACCACTTGCTGAGGGATCATTTTGACCAGGGACCACTTTAACAAAGACCACTTTGACCAGGGACCACTCTCCAACATTAGTACCAAAATCAGGTTTTGGTCAACTTTAGATTTGATTTGGTTATTGGGGTGCTGATTCAGAAAATTGGCTCTAGTTTCTGCTACAGGACATATGTCACTTAGTAATCGCCATCTGCTCTCCCACAGAAAACCATATTTAATAATCTAGGGCTGATGTGGTAGTAGTATCCTCTTGGGGTAGTCAGCCCCTCCCCTCCCGACATCCCCATTGCCTTGGCACTATAAGAGAGTTTCACTAGGCCAGTCACTCTCATTGCCACGTGGTTTTGAGGCAACAGTGTAGGAATGGTGAGGCTGCAGACCATATTTTCATTCTTGCAGACCACTGGTGGTCCACGGGCCACAGATTGTTAATCAGTGCCATACAGATGAGTTGAAGACACACGCACGCACACACATGGACTATATGCCTTAGACTGAGGATCAAAGCTGGACTATAAAGATGCAAATTAAGGAAATTAATTAAGAAAGCAACAAAGTATATTTCCAAGCTTAACTGAAATTTCTTTTTCATGATCCATTAGAAGTTGGGGGGAAAGGGGCAGTAGCAATGTTCTGGAGATGAACCCTGTGAATTTGATGCTTTGTAGTATTCTTAAAAAACCCTTATTCAATAGAAGTCCTCATCATTTTATTTTTCCCTGTTAACAGGTCCTAATAGCAGATGACTACTCTGACCCATTTGATGCTAAAAGTGAAGGCAGCAAAACTGGCAAAGGAGAAAACACTGGCTACATGGAGCCATATGAAGCTCAAAGGATAATGACAGGTAAGGGTTTTTTTTTCACTTTGCAGGTGCATAAATGGTATATTCAGTGCTTTCTTTGTGACTCTCAGACCTGCACTGCTCATGTATAGTGCCTGGGACTGACTTGCAAGCAGTGCTCAAGGTATATGTTGTCAGTGTGGAGAATTGTAAGCATTCATTTTTCTGCCATAGAAAATGTCCACCCAGTGAAGGATTTCCTGGATCTTCTGTAGTACGTGTATTCAACTCCCATCATTCCAGTTCCTCTTTTTTGTCTGGAATTTTTATAGAAAGTATCTTTTGACTTCCTCTTAAGTATTGGTATAAGGCAGATGTTCTTACCTTTGCTCCATGGACTCCAGCAGATCTACCAACCAGTGCAACAAAATGTGTTTCTTCCCCTCCTCCCACCCTTTGGTTTCTTTCCTGCAACCTAAAAATTGTGTTTCAAGTGCATTTTCATAATGAAGGAGTCCAGAGTTTTCATTGGCTTCTCAAGAGAGCATGCAAACCAAAAGATTAAAAATCACAGATTTAAGAGAGATTTGTAACAGTGTTAATCTTAAATGCATGTGAAAGAATTTCCTTTGTTTGCCAAAGCTGAATTGTAGCTCATAGTTTGTATGGGTATATATCATCCCCTCAGTTACCATGTAAGGCATGCTTGAATTATGCCACGAAGCTATAACTGGCATTTGGTTGCTTGTGTGAATCTTATCTACCTCTAACCAAACAGTGCATTCCTTTTGTGTTATAATAATACTTTTAACACAATTTTCCTAAGATAAACTAAAATTCCATAGTGGCCGGAAATAATGTGTTCCTGTCTGTTCTTCGGAGGGCTTGAAATCTTATTTGTCTTGGAGGAGGTCAAATCAGCTGCTTTAGACAAAAGTGTGTCTTGATTTGGGGTGGTTTACTTTGAATTTCATTTCAGATGATAACAGTCACTATAGAATGTATTGTGTGTTTGAACTGCTATCTTTTATAGCATGGGTGCATGTGCTAAATTGATACTTGGGGGAAAAAATTGTACACCTCCCAAGCTACTTCAGCTCCCATGACTAGTGACCAGCCTGGGGAATTCTGGGAGCTGTTATCCAGAACCCACCTATATTATACAGACTTACCATGTGGATAGGTTACACAAACTGACCTCTTATATTGTAAAACAGATACAGTTGACCTTTCACATAATACAATTTTCACATAAAATAATTGTGCTTTAAGTATTGTGTAATTTGTTTGATTTGGTATGTATGTTTATTTTTACTATATTGTGTGTCTTCTGTTGTAAGCCGCCCCATGTCCTTTCAGAGAGAGGAGGCAGGATATAAATTATTATTATTATTATTATTATTATTATTATTATTATTATTATTAAATTTGGAGCCATGGGGGGAAGATTTCATTGGTTGGGTCTCCCCCTGTCTGGTATGCCTGTGAAAGCTAGAAAAACTACATAGTCAAATTAATTTGTACCCTGTGGAGGGGAGCGTAGACAAAAGGAAGAGTCACTATTTGGGGTGCAGGCTTCCCACGCTAAGCTCCCAAAAGCAGCCCCCTGTTCAGGGGCCAAATCTGGCTGGAAGCCAAATTCCTGCCATATTGGTCCTACTGCATGGAGCCATGTAACTCTTTCAGCCAAAGAAGAAGGGCTGCCTTTGAAAACTCATTGCAAGCAGCCAGATCCCCAGCTTCCCTCACCTTTGTCCATGGAGGAGGGCTTCATTTGTACCTGAACCTGTGTACTACAGACTTGTGTAATATATGAGCCAACTGTATATCACAAGACAAAATCTGTAGGTATCAGTAGAACAGGCCTCAAAGAAAACATGTTCAGGACCACATCATATCTGGTAGAGTAAGTAGTAGTTTCAAATAGTGATTATTTGCTTTCTTCTCTTTCCCTGTTACTTGGAAGTACGAATGAATGTTTTTCAGTAGTTGTTTGTTGCCTTCTTTATATGTAGTCTGCAATCCTGAATATCCCCAACCTCTTACGAGTTTAGGATATTTTTTTCAATGGTTATAAACAAATTCTTGTTTAAGTTTAATGCAGCATCTCTCATTCAGTATGGATAATGACATTTAATGTTACAAGCTTCTGCTTCTTCATGAATGCTAATTTGTGCTCTAAATAAGAGTCCCACTGTAAATACGATATAGGAAATGGCATGAGAATGGATTGCTAATGTTGATTCACATTAGCAGCCATGTCAGACAAGACAAGAGATGTAAATATATTACCATTTCATGAGACCAGGGCAAATTATCTATTCAGTTGATTCATTTGCAGGGTTTCAGGCCTTTTCAGTGTTCAGACATTACACTTCCTAGGAAACCCAAAGGATATTTGGAAATATGATGAGCAATTGCAATTTCCACTCTCATTATAAGGAGTAGTAGTTCATATATCCCCCAAAGACATACATACATAATGGAGAACTTGTAATGCTAAAGCACAATGACTGGTATCTCCTTTAGAGAAGAACTGCAGCACATCTTGCAAGAGAACATATGGTGTGCTTATTATGAGACTGCTCTTCTGTCAGTCATCTTTTCTCCAGCTCGTAAGGTCCAGGAGTGCATCTACACTGCAGAATTAATGCAGTTGATACTATTTGACTGCTATTGTTCAGTGTTATGGAAATCTGAGCACTCTTTGGAGAGGAAGACTGAAGACTTTGTAAAACTCCTGTGATTCCATAGTCTTGGGACTCATCCTGGCTCTGTTGGCTGCTATAAATCATCCATTAATTGTAATGCATATTAGTTAATTCGATTTGTATTATGCTGTAAGTATAATTGATTTAAATCTACCACATCTATTGAATTACCATTTTTGGCTAGTTACTGTAAGTTTGCATTGACATGTTTGTTTACTGTTTTGAATGGGTTTGGTTTGTTTCTATTGTTTATTATTTATTTATTTACGATATTTATAGCCTGCCTTTCTCAGCCATACAACGACTCAAAGCGGGTTACAGATTGGCACAATTAGATGTCAGGCATTCATATAATTGCCATTAAAAACAATCAACATTACAATATAAAACATAAATAAAAACTGTTAAAGCATATAATCATCAGTGTCATCCTGTTAAAAACGTTATCCAGTAACTTTGTCTGGCCATGTTCATCATTCATAGTTCCGTGTTATCTGTTCTGCTGCATTCTCAAAAGCTTGCTCCAACGGCCAGGTCAGGAGGGAGGGGGCTGATCTAATATCCCTGGGGAGGGAGTTCCATAGCCAGGGGGCCAACACTGAGAAGGCCCTGTCCTTTGTCTCTGCCAATCGCACTTGTGAGGCGACTATGGCACTGAATGTTTGCCATCTTTTGTGGGAAACTGCCCTGAGCCCCTCTGGGGAGATAGGGTGGGTTATACATTTATTATTATTATTAGTAGTAGTAGTAGTAGCAGTAGTAGTAGTATCCTGGCTGTGGGATCAGGCCTTCACGGACTAGACTTGCTGGAAAACTTACAGTTTTAATGGACCATAGTCCATGGACTGCTTTTAGGATGACGATTCAAATTGGTAATTCTTTTTAATGTTTTATAATGTTTTTATATTGTTTTAATTATAATATGTATATCTATGTGTTTTTGTTGTGGGCACCATGTTGTGCTGGTTGTTAGCCGCCCTGAGTCCCTCTGCGGAGGTTGAGATAGGACGGGTTATAAATGCCCTAAATAATAGTATCAAAAGTGGGGAGGTTCAACTATTATGTGATGGTGACTTTTAGAGGCTTTTTTCAATGTGTAATAGTCCCATTAAGGCAGTGGTTCTCAACCTGTGGGTCCCCAGGTGTTTTGACCTACAACTCCCAGAAATCCCAGCCAGTTTACCAGCTGTTAGGATTTCTGGGAGTTGGAGGCCAAAACAACTGGGACCCACGGGTTGAGAACCACTGCTTTAAGGGTATCACCCTCCCGCGCATCTGTGCCCTCAGAGCGTAACTGCAGAGAGAATGGCAGGCAGGCGAGTTCACTTGCCCTTCTCTCCCCTCTGCAGCTACAGAGCATTGCTCTGAAAGGGCAGGTGAACTCACTCCCCTGCCCTTTCCTTGGTGATGTGGGGCTTAACTTGGCTCCTGTAGTGCCAAAAGGGCAGTCACAGCCTTAATGCACACACCCAGGCAAGTGAACTAAGGCTGAGACTGTTATGTGGGGAAGAGTAAAATATCAATTTTGCCTTTCCCAAAAGAAACGTGCAACTATTATGTGATTGTTAATATTATGCAGTGGAATACGGTATATTAACTAGATGGTATAGATGCATCCTTGGGCAGGGGCAGGAGAATCTCGCCTATAGGTCAAATTCATCCTTCTTCAGGTCCTAATTTGACCTTTCCTGGTTTCTCAGGGGGGCACAGCCCTTTTTGATATTACATTGTTCTTTGAAGGTTTCTCGGCTTGTATCCTGATATTTTCCCGTATTCCCGAAGCCAATTCTGCTGCTGAATTAAAAATTAACCACTAAGGTTTATAACACTGAAACTGGTGGGTAGGATAAGGACATACAGTTATAATTAGAAGTTTTAATAGCATTATCTTCAGTTGTGGTGGGGGGGGGGGGGAGAGAGAATGGGAGTTATTTTTAGTCAGTTCAATCATTTCTATTAATTAAAAGTGGTACAGTAAAATTCAGCGGCATATAGTTTATGTTGCATGCTGCCTTTTCCTGCTGCTTTGATGTGAAATGTCTCAAGCCTCTTCCTCATAATACTTTCTTTTGTTGGCTCATGCTGCAACGAAAAATTAGGAGGGAATTCCCAGATCTACTTGATTCATTTTGATGTTGCTCTTCCAGTATGTACTTGATCTGATCGGTTGAAGCCCAGCTATTGTAGTAAACTTAATCCTCTATGACTCAGGTTAGCATACCTTCGAGTAGCAAAAAGTAGACGACAGAAAGAATCTGCTATTAATAAGGATGTCATTTTATAGGCAGTAATAATAGCACACAATGTCCTCCATTGTGGTCCTTTCTACTGTGGTCCCAGTCAGGAATTAAT